TTTTATTTTCCTGTCCTTTAGTGAAAAGTTAATAGCTTACAAATGAAGCTGCTACTTAAAGTCCTTCTAATTGAATATTCTGCTGTTTTCCATGTATGTGAGTTTTCTAAGTAGGGCATAAGATCAATGTGTTATAAAAATCTTCTTTCATGCTGTCTTGTTTAGTAATTGGAGATTCACAGAGAGACTTTTACCTATAATCAGATTTTAATAGAGGAGATTAAAGTGGATACCTGTTAACTACTGGTTCTGATGTTTCATGTGGTGAACCAGTGTTTAATATTATTGCATAGCTGGTGCCCTAGGTCTTTGATCTGCAAAGAAAACCTTACTAATGTGGTTTATGCCAGACTTATTCTTAAATATCTGACTAAGTAAACTCAATGTATTCTGGAAGGTCATTAAAGAGGTGATCATGTCTTTGCTTTTGCAAGATCAAATTGTTTTCTGGGCTTTCCACAAACACTTGCACACTCTAGAAAGTGAAAATAAAGAATCTTTTTCAGGAGAGGTATGGCCTTTGACTGAAGTTATATTTTATTTTGAAGTTGATGATTCTTTGATTCTGACTTAATTATGTCTCCTTCAAAGTACCTTCATAATTATTAATCTTGTTGCTGCTCTGTTAGACTAGGGATGATGGCAAAAGTCCCATAAATATTCCTGAGAGAATTGTTCTGTCATTTCTTGTCTAATATACAGAAGATTTTGTTCCTGTGGACATAAAGGAATAATCATGCAGATTGTGTGGATTCTTACAATATGCCTACGCAGAGTGTGGTCTTCCTTAAAGAAACCTTTAGCAGCCTTTTAATACAGTCTTAGTTTCAGCCTACCAAATTATTCACTACTTTTCCATCTCAGAGGTCAGTATTGAGAATCATCACCTGAAAGATTGCTGATACCTCGTTCATAACATTCAGTATGTCGTTTTTGGCCAGTATTATTAAAAAACACAATTTCAGAAAATTTTACATAGAGAAAACTCTTTTCTTTAATCTTTACTTCTTATTGTATTTCCTGCCTCAGTCTGTTTACAGGCCTTGAGAGACCACTTTGGCTCATTCTGTTGACATAATTAGCCACATGCTCACCAGAGCTGCTGTTTTTATTTAGATTTTCTTTTATCATATGAAGATGTGAACTGGCATGTGGGGCTTGTTGCTATAGCTACAATATATAATTTCTTTGCTAATGTGAATCCTTGAATTCGGTAGTGCATAGTCAATCACTTTTTAGATGCTGCCGTGTAGAGAAGATGTATTTCCTGTGCAAAATGTGATCTGTCATGGCTGGCCAGTCTGTCAAAGCTGAGAACTCAACTGCCCATGTAAGTCAATATCTCTCCCTGGCTTAGCTGAACAGAATACTTCAAGTGGAAGAGCAGGAGAATCCAACTTGTGGTGCTCATCCAGTGAAGACAAAAATCAACATCCACAGGATTGTATATCCTAAGCCTAAAGAAGAGCACCAACTTGTTTAGATTGTCGTTGACAACTTTATTTAGGATGTTAGGTTTGTTTCACTTCACTGTGTAACCAAGTAAAAGCTTTGTTGTTGCAGCTGTGGTTACTGCTGTCTTTGGCACTGGTATACTACCAATTTAGATCATGAAGGTTTAAGCTGTTTTCTGATGTATCCATTTTATAGGAGATTTTTATATGAAACTTGAGGCTTATTTAAGCACATAAATGGCAGCTGGTGTAGATAAAGATTGAAACTTTTAATACAATATAAATCAAAGATATAAAATTGGTATTTTCATGTCTAGAGGTACATTATCTTTGCAACAGCGTAACTATAAGGATATTCTTGTGAGTTTTATAACAGTTGGTCTTTAATCTTAATAATTTGTGTGTTAGGGATAAGGTTTAGGGTTTTTTTTAGTTGACCTATAAAATTTCCACTGAAACTCACTATGAAACAATTTGTTTATGGTTCCTATGGATACTGATAGACCTCTAGACCAGTAGTCTTCAAACCTTCTTGATCAAGCGTATATTAAAAAAGTTGAGCATGCACTATCAATATTTAATTTATAAATTATATACATGTACTACTATACTATGTATTATGTCCATTATAAAACATACCCAAAAGTGGAAAATAAAGATGACATAAAGGTGAAATAAACATTAATTTTACACTTTATTAACAGTACCAAAACAATTTTCTTCTCACACTCCAATGTATTGTCTTCCACACTTCCCTGGGTTTTCATATCCCACTTCGGAGACGACTGCTCTTCCTGTGGGAAGATATGCCTGATCTTCCCAGGCAATATAAATAGGAGATCTAAAAGCCAGAGAGAAATTACCTATAAAGAGTTCTGCAAGTTTTTTGATGTGTGTGTTAGAGACTGCATATAAAGCAAATGCTTGTGCCAGAGTTTGATCCCTGTATATTAAATGGATTGATTTGTCTTCCCTTCCTACTTCTGTATTTCTTGGGCTAGTAGTAGGAAAGGTCAAATGAAGTTTTATAACATTGAGTGGCTTGTCACACCCATGACACAACTGGATGTTTGATGTTGTTCATTGCAGAATCTATGATTACTTGCTTTTTTATTTTTGTAACTTAGATGATATCTTGGTTCTGTTTATACAGACTAAATCATTCTGATGTTTCTTTGAATGCTGCTGATACATTTTTTTTTTCAGTACTAGTATTGAAATACACATAATCTGTATTTGGAATGTCTTTGCAGACTTTTTGCTAGGTATGCCCCTATAAACAAGCTTTCATCATCTTTAAGACAAACTTAGAAAACTCAGTGTTTGGGTGTTATTTTTTCCTTCCAAATGTTTGTTGCCCAGC